GCCGTTAACTGAACACGTGAACGTGAGAACCACTGCTCTAGATCACTTGCTGGAACGACTATTCTCCCAAGTCTCATAGCATCAGTTCACTCCTTCCAGAGATCGTCAGTTTATCGTGCTATTTTAACTTTTGAAACAAAAATTCTAAATTCATGAATCTATTCAAAACATTTTATCTGATCATTCATTACAACCACACTAGTCACTGTTGCGTTTGAAGCAGATGCAGCTGAATTTGACAACATACCTACGTAATAACATGCAATAAACGTTAATTAGATGCATATTGGTGAGTAATACCGAGGCAATTATGCAGTCATTCGAAATCACATTGTGATTTCCAATTCAAAATATTATTGATGATGCGATGTTTTCAGTTAGGAGATTATCCGATAGGAAATATTGTTTTCTTGATTTTTGAGCTCTTTGATGATTCATTTTGTTTCTTTTTATTTTTTCTTTTTAGTAAGTGGGTCACGCTTTGTAAATACAGACGACTTCCAATGTCCCAGCAAATTTCTCATCGAGTGCAGTTTTTCGATTTAGCAAACGAATAGAAAATGTTACAAAATGGAACGAATACATCAATAAATCACCAAATAATGAAATTTTATAGTTATCGACAAAAGAAAGTTCTGAATGAGGTTAATCGAACATTGATCATGCATAGACTTTGCACGAACATCATCCATATTGTAAGGATTGAACATCGAAAGTTTATTAGATTAAATCTTTATTTGCTCGGTAAATAAAGTTCCATTGTGTAATGGTCAAATTCGAGTCGTTTCAGCAGTCGCTTTCCAGATTGTTTTCTTGGTATGCAAATGTTACTAAATAACCACTCTTGACGTTGGCATCACTCTTTTCATTCATATCATTGCCACTATAAACTCATTGTTATTATTGGTATTTTGCATCAAGTGATTTGGCAAACATAAAAGTTCAAACTGAGAAATGGAGTCATTTTTCAATGAAAATTTGGCTCTTCTCATCACATTCGCTTGCTTATTTTGAAATCATACCACTTTACGGACATACCATACGACTAAAC